TACAGATGCCTCAAACAATGGCACTTTCAAGGTGCTCCCAGTCATTATCATTCCTACACTGGTGAAGGGCAAGCAGTTCACTGCTGACCTGATTATTTTCAAGGCACTAATGAAACCATATTAGGAATATCTGAAAAAAAAAGTGTATATGTGTATATATATATATATATATATATTATATATATAAAGATATATATATATAAAGCTAAAATCGAGTAGTTGGAACCTTGGCTAGATACAGTTATTTGCAGGTAATACTGTTGCTAAATCTGAGTTATGTCTCCCATCCACAAACCAATGGGAAGTAAGAAAGAAAAATTGTCTTTAGCTTCTTGCTCTGTATGTAACCATATAACAGAAAAATACCATTTAACTTTCCTTGTGTCATTCAGTCATTTTTCTCAGCAAATGTTTCAGATTTAAAGGAGAACTTATGAAATTTGAATGGGAAGAAATATTCTACATGAGACAATTACTTGCATACTGTACTGTTAAAGGATCATAATCTGTTTCCTTGGTTCTAGGAGTTTCTTTTGGAAGTTAAGTGAATGTTGTCAGATGCCAATTTTAAAATGCCATTTTCAAAGAAAACCTCATAGAGCATGATAAAGAGGTTTTCAGTGACACAATGTCGCTTATAATTTTCAGGTTTTACTGAATTTTTCTTGCAATGGAAGTCTTACAGGTAAAACAATCTTTTTACATGATGAAATGTATAAGATAAAGCATTCATTTAAGGGTAATTTGTAAAAAAGAACCGATGACAAATTCTTGGTCATAAACTATTCATCAGCAGAAGGTAAAAAAGAAAACAAAGACATTTCACACAGAAATACACATTAGCTGTCAGAAATGAGGCTTTATATTTTCATATAATCAAACAAAATACGAATAAACTGATATACTATTAATGTACTCTTTCCAAAAAGAGTAAAAAATATTGATAATTTAAAATTTCTTAAAAGGCATAATATTGTGTGGTTAGAGATTCAGCTGAGTACTTGTATATGTCAGGAGTCTTCAACTAGGAAAAATTTTCATATTTTAGCTTCACATTCCTGCTTTCTCAATTTCTTAAAACTGTTTCTTTTATAATTAAAAAAATCCATATATAATCAGATTTGGACAGATTGTGGATTTCTCAAACAGTTTTCATTTCGGTGAATTTTCTAAGTCTGGGTAATTTAACATGTAGCGTGGTTCATGAATTTACTTTTAAAGCCAAACAAAATTAAATCCATTAAAACTGATAATAAATTATACTTCTATCAATTCTTTCAAGTTTATAATTAATTTCCCATCAGTGAAATTTAATACCATTTCAGAAATATGTATATGTACTAAAGGAAATAAGATTTCCCTAGAATTTCCCTTCATGTTAGCATGTAGACCTATTTCTTCTGTTAGAGTTGTCCCTTCTTAAAGAGAATACCTTTTTTAAAGTTTGGCTGCTCTGGAGCGTAGCTTCAGTTAATACATTAAAGCAAAGTGTGAATATGTGGTATAAAGTAGGAAAAATCTTGAGTTTATTTTGCTAGTATGGCAAACCAGGTACCATTAAGACAAAAAAACTTAGTAGGAGAACAATTTACTGTACACAACCTTGGCATTCCATGGAGAACATAGTTTTACTTTTCTGCTGCTGTGAAGCAGTCTTGTTGAAAATTTTGCTGGTTTTGACTTCTTCCTGTGTTCATTGTAGTAGTCAGTGGTTGCTGCCAAAAACATAAAAATAAAAATAAAGAAGCAGAAGGATATTAACAACACTTCTACTGCAGCAGTAGAACAGAACATAAAGAATATTGTAAGAGTTGTATGATGCTACTTCATCTGAGGCATCACATCACTGAAACCTGATGTCCTCTCTGAACTCTAAGTGCAATTGTTACATTTCATAAAGATCTAAAATGGCAGATATTAGCTAGCAAATGAAGAGCATTACTTTCTTATATTACATTATATTGACCTGTATATAAAACCAACATAGAAACCTTTCTTCTGGCAGTTTCTTGTTGGATGCTGAGTGTTGGAGATCACTGTACCAGCTTTGTGCAAAGCAACATATGGAAGCTGTTGACTTCACTGGGAATGGAGTATCTGTTGTCAGGGAAGATAGAGGTAATTTTCCTGAAATATGCATAGGCTTAAAACCATTAGAAGAGAAGAACTGAGTGCCAATTTTGAAAGCCACCTCTGTCCCTTTATAGTAGAGTGAATACATAAATATCATACCCCATTATCTGCTTGGTTAACCAAGACTGAAGAAATCCAAAAGATTAATGTAAAGTATGTACTGATGTAACAGTGACTTCTAAAAAAGATTAATGGAGAGAACTGAAATTCAGATATTATATGGAAATGTGTATTTTTACTGGGATTTTTTTTGTAGATTGTACATTCTGACAGCATTGTAAATACTTTAAATTAAAAAAAGGATAAAGTCTTTAAAAAGTCAGTTTCCACCAACTTATTGACTTTGCTTTTTAAATTGTTGCTTTGATTTCTCTGACCTCTGTTTACAAAAAGAAAAATTGAGTTTTTTACAGAACTAATTAATTCAAAAGATCTGTGAACCATTTAATTTGAGTTGAAATGCTTTTATTAAGGTGAATGGAGTTACAGTGGCCCATTGCAGAGATATTTTGAATAATGATCTTTGCTGGCACGTTCTAGTTGCAGTAATAAGTAAAGAAGATAAAAAATGGGAGGCGGACAGTGCTGTTAGCACTACTCTGCTTCTAGGCTAATGTATTCTGTTTCTCAGCCAAAGTAATTTACCGGAATAGAAACCACAATGTTACATTTATACTGCTCCTGGGGCCCACTTTGCTCAGATCTAGCTGCAGTACCTTCTCAGGACAATGTGTTAGGGAGCTCAAGGTCTTTATTATTCTCTTGGTGGGGTAGAAATCCTGAATATCTCAAATCCTAAAAATCATTAAATATGTATGATATTCTAGAAAGGAACTATGGTTGCTTCTCAATTTAGTCAAAATGAAGCATTCATATAAAATAAGCTTAAATATGAATATCACACAAAAACTTGTCCCGTGAAAAGACAGCACTGTCATTAGCCAGTGTATACAAATGGTCTTTGATTCTATAAATACAGATTCTATAAATACAGATTCTCACATGTGAGCTAAAAAAAGCAACTCTTCTCTCACAGCATTTGGAGAAACCCATAGACATGTCTGGCATATTCCTCTCTACAGGAGCTGAATGTACCAAATGATTTCACTAGACTTACAAAGACTAAAATGGAATTGATTGTAAAGAAACAAGACCAGGGCTCTACCATCTAAAATGTGGTGAACTAAAGATGTTCTTTTTGAATAATAAAGGTACACTGGGTGCATTACATTGCATCCTTCAGATGTGTGAAGATGTCATCAATATGAAAGTCTCTTCAGATTCAAATCTGTCATCTTCCCTGAGAAAATAAAGCTAATAATACAATGAAAAATGGTAGTGAGATAAGCTATAAGGAAGATGGTCCTTAATGCCTTTGGTGACTAGGCTTTAATTCCTGAGGTAATCTACTGCTGGTATTTGGATACGTACTAGCACCTTTTGATCATTTACCATCTAGAGATGAGAGGCCCAAAGTGTGTTTTGGACTTGGATTACAGTGCCAGTGGATTAGGTTTCCTGGTGTTATAACATCACCTTTGGAAGGATGGCCTGCCAAAAATGTAATAGCGTAGGAGAAACAGGTGGCTCTTAGCAAAAACGCTGTCCTCAGTTCAGATTGCAACCTTTACTTACTATCTATAAAGAAAAAAAGATATAATACTGTTGTGTTAAAACTTAGGAATAGACAAACAAAAAGGCAATAAAAACAAGTTCAGAGTGATCGAAGACAAAGACACTCCAGACTTTCCACATAGCCTTAATTCTCCTGGTAGAGTGCATCTACCAGGGGTCCTAATGAGTTGTTTTCCTGTGGATTATTCCCAACCCCTGTAATAGCCTGTGTTGTAGAGCATACACTTTGTGTCACATCAACAAACACCAGCTCTATTATGGATGCAGCCACACCCGCAATACTGAGAGGGTATTGCATGACACAGTCAGATGTCTGTTTCTACAGGGTCTGAAAAGAGGAAGAGGAACATAAACAAATGTAACATGACCTCTCCCAGCCTCTGCTGGCTGGAATTCACATACAAAATATGTGAATTCAAATACAATTCAAATACAAAATTAAAATACAGTTTCTTCTATGGGGTATTAAATGCATAAATCAGCATGTTTAATGTGTTCACCTATGTAATTTTGTCTGTTTGTTCATGTGTATTTTAATTTCTGCATTTATACCTAATATGATGGCTTACCTACAAAAACACAGTAGTAAACATCGAGTGAAAGAAAGGATGAATTTCATGTAAATTATGGTATTAGCCTATTCAGGGCCAATTGTTCCACTCCTAACATTAGGTGCACATGAGGTGTCTGTAAAGGAGCACTAACGTGCCTTTTGTTTTTGCTGCAGTGTGGCCTCAAAAACAGTGTCTGAACAATTGCTAACAAGCAGAACAATTAATTTACTGAGTTTACACAATCTTCTCCCTAAAGGGCATAATCAGGGAAATTTACCATTCTCTAGCTTATGTGTGTTGGTCCTGTTCATCTTTCACGTGTCTTTTGTCAGTCTGTCCTATGATAAAGAAGTCTGCAAATTGTACCTTGTAGCTGTGACTTTTTAGATACAATGGAAAAGAACGTGCTCATGCAGAAACTGTTATCGCACAGGACCATGCAAGTGAGGTGTTTGGCCTGTTTCATAAAGCACATAGATGTGAAAAAAGGGTGGAGGGGGAGAAGGGAAAGAAAAAAGGAAAAGAAAATTTCCTCAGGCAGCAAAACAAAAAGAAAGCATAGCTCCATTGGCCAGAATGTATCCTGTGGCTCTACAGCAGAACAGGCCTAACCAAACACTAAATAGTGGTGGGAAGTATGGAACAGATTTCAATTTGTGTGTCATACTTTCTTTGCAGGAGTATCAAATTGATGTATTTTTTGCCCAGACGTGGACAGATAGCCGTCTTCGCTTCAACAGCACCATGAAAATACTGACTCTAAACAGCAACATGGTTGGCTTGATCTGGATCCCAGACACTATATTTCGTAACTCAAAGACAGCGGAGGCTCACTGGATCACCACCCCCAACCAGCTCCTCCGCATATGGAATGATGGCAAGATCTTGTACACCCTCAGGTGAGCACTTGGCAAGGTGCAGGGCTCAAAGCTTCTGGTGTAGCAATAGTAATTTTCCGCTGTATCTGTGTTCTCCTCAGCTGTTTTCTTCCTGATCCTTACCTGACCATGCTTTACAAATATTTTAATATTCAGGCATAAGTACCGTCAACTTTAAAAAACAAAGTCTTGTCTTTCTAGGACAGAATTAGAAATAGGTATGTCTAAATTGTAGAAGTTGGGTTTTTTAGTGCTTGTAATAAAATGTAGTCCCATAAAACCAGGGCTGGATAAAGCATTTCTAGATTCATGCTGATGCTGGACTCTTTGAATAAGTCATGCTGAAAGATAGTCTGTTACATCTCATCATAAGGGTGAATTGCTAGAGAAAAGGTTTTTAGAGTTTTTCTAATCTTTTTGATACCATCAGCTGTGTGATATTAGAAATAAACTATATGATGTTAGAAATGCAGTGCATATATATACAGTATTTATATATGCAGTATAAAATATACCTGTATTAAAAAAACCGTGTGGAAATCAAAATATGTGTTTACTTATGGAAGAGATGGGTTGTTCAGAAGGGAGTTGTGCCATAAGCCACATTCCACAAACCAAACAGTTTCAGAAACATCCCTTTCACGCTGCATTTTCTTCAGTGATTGTGTTCAACCCTCTTGGTGCAACTGCATATTCCAGTCATAATTGCATTAGCAGTTGGGGTCCAATAGAAAGTCTTTGGCAGACAATAAGGAAGGAAATAAACAGCTGGAAAAGCTACTGATATTTTTAGTGCCCTTTCCATCTTAAGCTTGCTCCACTGTGAGGAGCTCTTACTTATTTCAGTTGCCTTTAGCAAATTTTAGACTTTTTGATTACAATGTCAACTCCAATCCCTCTTGATTGGGTTTGTTTTTTTTTTTTTTTTTTTTGAGGGGTTTTTGGTTAGGTGTGTTTTCTTTTCCTTTTAAGTCCTGTTACAGTATTTCAGGGCAAGTTAAATATCAGTCTAATAGTAGTTAGATTTACATACCTATCACTAAAGACACTATTTGCTGAATGGACTGCAAATTTTGTTTAAAACAGCTAAAAGAGAGGTAATACTTGATCCATTGGAGTGAACATTCTTAGTTTGTGAAAAATATTTTGAGTACTTTTTGACCCCTCAAAAGGTCAACCTCCTTTTTATGCAAAAAAATCTGTTAGAATGATCATTGGCCATTGTTAACACTGTGTAATTCAAAACCAGTTTATCTTACCTAAGTGTCAGAATTGGTATGACATGGAAGAGGTAACTACTGTATGCCCTGGTACTGTCAGGTGTTGATGGGTGCTATGTGTTCATAAGAAAATACAAGGTTCAATCAAGGTCCAGGCCTTCCCATCTTCTTCCTTGCCTACTTCTGGATGTGAATGCCCTCCTGCTGCAACACTGCAAGTCCTCTTCTACCGTCAGCACAATAACACTATTAAATTCCTCACAGGTGACCTTTTCCAAGACAGGGGTTTTCTCTGCAGCATCCTAAATCTGAGACACAAACCTTTCCCCATCCAGTTTGTGAGCTTTTTATTTAGTTTCTAAAAGGAAAAATCCACATGACCCAAACTTGCTGCAGAAATTCTGGCATGCAATTATGTAGTGTTTACTAAAAAAGATTGTACAATAAACTAACACTGAATTCTATCTCCCTGGGTAAATACATTCACTTTGTAAGCTATCAGACTGAAGGTTATTGATTTTTATTAGTAATTTTTAAATTAGCTCTATTCATAGTATCCTTTGTGTTAGGGATGCCATGTAAAACAAGCTTTCAAGTAGGACTAAAGATGTTTCTGCTGATATGTTTGTTGCATCTGTACAATATAGAATGGCATATAGACATATATTGAGAGACAGCTGAAAGAGGCTGAAAGAATTTTAAGTTCACACTTTAAGTATATGTGGATAAGATTTCTTATAAGATTCTTTATGAGGTTTTAATTTTGTGGAATTACACACCACTACATCAACCATATTTCCTGAGTTTTTTAATAAAGAATAGATGTTTCCATCCCAGGTCCTTTGATAATAAATTGTCTAGAGAAAAACACATGCACAGATTTCTTGGGATCAAGAAACTCTTGATGATGTGTCTGAAATTATTTTACATAGTTATCGTTGCTTTGGATCAGACTTAAATAACCAACTAACAATCTGCAAATATAGTTCTTTCTTTTCCGGCCTTACTTATGGATGTCAGAATATTCTTGAATGATACTTAAGGTTTCCCAACCTCCTCCTCTGACTGTTCATTGTACTGGCATGTAATAACAGACACTTGGTTTCTTCACAGGCTTACCATCAATGCCGAGTGCCAGCTGCAGCTACACAACTTCCCAATGGATGAACACTCATGTCCTCTGATATTCTCTAGCTGTAAGTGCTGCTTTGATGCCTTATTGTTGTATATGACTAGTATGCAGAGGCATGAGTTTATTTCTGATTTCTGTCAGGTTGTTCAACTATTCCCCGACAGCTATAGGATATTTAGGTCTGCTCAAATATTCAGGGAATTTTGGTTTTCCTCTCTTGCATTTCTGGTCAATGGATTTATAACATGAAGTCTTCTGTAGGTTTACTCTATTATTTTTGCCAGAACCAACCTTTTTAATTGATACTATAGTCACACTCTCAGCAGGAGCAGATATTCATATCAGTCTGTGCAATGTTAATCTATAAAATCATGTGACATGCAAATGAGAATTGAAACTACAGTTTTCTGGTGGAGGTGCACAGCCTGGGGACATGCCCAGTAATCTCTGAACATCTGAGTTTACAGCATGTAGTGTGGTAATGCCTCTCTGTTTCATAATAAAAGTAAATGGTGCAAGTACTGTAACTCTCATTTTCCTTTTATTGCTCGGCTTGTCCAGTAGTCCCAATGTTGTATTGTATGTAGTCTTGTTGGCATGTTCAAAACCTTCCTAACAGGCAAAAAAAATACTTTGGTGAAATGGATGGAAAACAAAAGTCAGGTGAGTTAATCTTGAGGTCCAATATTACTGTAAGAATTAAATTCATGCCGATTCATTTGAAAAAAACTTGAGAGCTGCCTACTCATGGGTACACCTGCATAGTTTTGTAATCCAAAGCCACACAATGCAAATGCTTTACAAACATTTTTAAAAGGGTTTCAGCTAAAGATTTTAATTTGACAAACTCCAAGACTCAGGATATGCATTCTTCAAAAATTAAAGGGAAATGTATGGTTTTGTCTGTATATTTAGAAAGTAGATTTTCTCCATAATAACTTTTAAAGTGGTAGAAGAATCACACTATTGAATGTCTTCATAATAAATATGCTGTTGTGATGGTATTGATTTCCATTTATAAACAGTATACAAACAGTGATCCTCAATGACAAAACAGATTTGAATTTCAGCTGCTCCAGGGTATATTTTTCTTTTTCCCCAGGAAAATGTTTTTAAAAAATCTGTCATGTAAAAATCTCCCTTTCCCCCAAAATATTATGCTGTTTTTTATTATCTATATATAAGTGGGCCTGGGCAGAAAATCGCTGTGGTATGTTTAATTCAGGTGTGTGGAATATGTGCATACTCAACTGAACAAGAGGCAGATAGCTCCTGAATGAGCTTTCCTGCTAATGAACACTTGTCACTGAACTCTGTGCACTTCAGCTATCTTTAGTTACTACTTGAAGCTACTCTTACCTTGTGGAAATCTGCTGTTTTGATGTAGTACTGGGAAAAGTGTGTGTGACCTTAAAGATCAAATCCCAGGGATTTAATTAGACCTACTAAAATTTAGGTTTAAGTCCAAAGATACTAATTAAACCTTCCACATAAATTTGATTAGTCCTGTGCTAGTAATATCCAAGTGAACTCCAATAAACAAAGAAGTCACTTCAAACCTTGCATTCCCTAATAATTAGACAGTTGCTGAATATAAGTAAGTTATGCTTGTGGTTTTTATTTAAAGTGAGCATATCAGTGGGAACTTCATCAGGTTCTGCTCCATGGCAAAGTTCCAAATATAGTTTGGTTTGCAAAGGTTCTTCCTAATTTAGATCTATTAGCTCAGAACTCTTCTGCCCTTGAAAACACACACATATTACAAATAGACATGTACTACTGTCTGTGGAGATGGAGATTACATAGGATAAATCAGAATGTGATTATGTCTCAGTTTCTCCGTGTTTTCTTCATAGTTTCTAGACAGATGGAAAAACCCATGGAAGGATATTAAAGTAATGTTTTATAGTTCTCTCAATTGTTTTGATCATGTTGATAACAAGGGTTTATTTCTTTAGATTTATACTGAATTTTGTTCTTTTCCTTGAACAATTTTAGCACTACTATTATCATCATCCAGAACAACTCCTGTATGATTTGTTTGTTGCATAACTTGGTTGTATTTTCAGTCTTGTGTATATTCATAGCAGTCTGTAGATACATGACACTCAGTGGGACTTGTGAAGTCAATGACTGAGTGAATGCCTGAATGATTTATTACTGCCTTCTATGAAAAGTTTCTGAGGGGACAAACTGATTTGGGATTCCAAGATGCATGTCTTTGAATCAAATAACAATCTTTGTAGAACTCACAGCACAGCTCTGCTTTCCTCTGCATCCCTTTTGTTTGTTCCCCAGCACACAGACAAATCTTTATAGTTTCCACTGTAGGCAGGCACAAAAAAAGCACAAGTGTCAGAAAATATTCTCTACACTTCTACACACACGAAGTTTAACATTTGAAATTTCTAATTTTTAATATAAATTTTCCTTGATATTTCAGAAATGTGAAACTCATCTTAAATTTTGTTTAGAATATTTACCTCTAGTGCCAACTAATTTGCACCCTAATCCTGCTGTTACTGTGAGGACAGTTTATGTTCCTTCAGTAGGAATACTGAGCTCTACTTGGTCTCTTTGCTGGGATGAATAAAGAGAAAACAGCAGCTTATAAATAGGGGCCATCTCAGTGTGCTAATAGTGGTTACCAAAATATACCTACCCCTTCCTGTGGTAAATCTTGTTCAAGAATAATTTCTGGAGCTCTCTACTCTCTTTTTTAGGACTAAAAAAGTACTGAAATAATCTGAAGCTCTTTACACTCTGTGCAAGTTTTACTTGTGCTTCAGGTGACATGATGTGATGAATCACCTGGCATATTAGGCCGTGTGATCAGTGTGTGTCTGTAGTTGCTGTTCTTATGTAGATGTGCACTTACATTCCTTATGTGAAAAGTTGATCCCGATACCATAGTGCTGGACTGCCATGCAACGTGACAGCTCATATCTGTTCTGTGTACTGGTTTGGTTTGATCAACCACATGTGGCAAGCAGTATTTCTTAATACAGAGCTGCTACAACATTGGCATCAATGCCAATGCATGGTAGGAATGTGCATTTCCATGTAAATGTGAATAAAGAATCAATGCTGTCACTTGATTCCAGTGTAGCAGTCTTTCATAGATTTTCCTCTATATGATCACTCTTTCTTCATATGGTTTTAAAGTATGCTGTTGCATAGAAATATTCTGTCATTCTTCATTTGAGTTAATTTACCCTCCTGAGCCAAGGGAGGTTGCTCTGCTGCTTTTGGCACTCAAATAGCACATTAAACTGTCTTGGATATCTCTATACAGTACTGATTTGTGCATTGTGGAAATACTTTCAGGATTCTGCTATAAAATTTAGTTTATTGAGGTAGTTAGGATTCACATAAACATCAGGAAGGAAGAGGTGTTCTATCTGAAGGATGATGTCAGCACAAGTAAATAAAACAGAGGCAACAAGGGCAGGCTGGAAATGAGAAGTTAAGCATATTAATTGTGGAACTTCTACCACAGAGTACTATGGATGCTCAAATATTATAACAATTCAAAAGTGTTTAGACAAAGCATTGGAAGAAAAATACATTGGGAGCTATCAAGCATAATGAGATCACTCTCTATTAATGACCACTATTTTTTTTATTCTGAGGGAGTAAAGAGTATTTCAGATTAAACAGTAGGCAGAAGTGGCTAAGCTACTTGAAGGAACTCTTTTCCATTAAAGTCATCAGAAACCTGCACCTACTCTCCCCATCCATGTCCTCAAGATTAACTTCAATCATGACACTCCTTCAGGTGACAATATATGACAGCCATACCCAAATGAAGCTGACAAACCTGTTACACCTTGTTTTGAGGATCTGATCAACTAACTTTTTAATCAGGTACAAGGAGCTTTATGATGGGAATCTGTGCTAGCTGTGTACCTGAGGTCTGAAACAATCTGAAAGACTATACCTTAGGGTTTAGCAGATGCAGTAATACTGAGCTACAGTGCAAGATGCCAGAAAAAAAAAAACACTGAATTGATTAATGGGTTTTCATTGGTTTATTTTTCTTGCTGCTGCACTGATCAAACTGCAGATACTGTTGTTCATTTTTAAAAGCACCTTAGATTTAGACAACAAGAATTACGATGTTTTGTAGCCAATTACTGATCTTCTTCCTAGTGGGAAAGTCTACAGTGTCCCGTGTTGCCCATTACTGGAGCATTGCTGCAAGACAGGAAAGGTGGGCATGCCCAGCATACCATTCTTACTGTGAACACCAAAATATATACATAAAGGTTCACGAACGATTCAGGTATTTTCAGTTCAATTTAAAATAGGGGAAAGCAAAATTTCTGGCTGTTGATTGTCCAGTTTGCTCAGTCAGGTCTTAAAACATGTGGGTTTTGCCTTTTAAATGTTAAAGTTTGTGGGGTTTTATAAAGTGAGGTACAAAAGTATGCAAAGTATTGCAGAAAAAAAGTAGTAAGAAAATGCAAAATGCATTTAGAAGAAATTAATCCAAATCTAACATAGAGCCTGAAAGAAACAAATCCCATCTTTCTATATATAAACTCAGTTCAATCAAATGTTCCTCTTTGAACATGAAACCTCTTATGGATATGCAATCAGTACTTTGAAACTAGTATCATTAATTTTCTAAGAGAACTAGCTGTCATCACCAATTTTAATGTTTCTCCTAGCCTAGAAAAGTAAATGCTGCTTTTTTTGGAATGAGTTGTGCTTTGTTTCATCTCATGTGTCATCAGCAGAATCATTAATAAAGTCTGAGGGCAGAATTTTACTCCTGATGAAGAACAGGCCAGAAGAAACATAGCTTAATGTTTGTGTCTTGAGAGGAGTTTCATTAAAGATGCTGGGAATAAACTGCAATGTGCAAAAAGAGCTTTAATCCACATGTGAACTTCCATTTGTGCACTCTGGAATGGGCTGAGCCAGATCATGGGACATCAATGGAATTCTTGAATCAGTTTTTGTGATGAGCATATTTTAGCTATTGTAGTTTTTTCCTCTTCGAGGAAGGTAGAAATTAAGGTACCAGTATGCATCCATCCTTCCGTTCAGAAGACTGTC